TCTCCTTGCCTTCCCCAGAAGTCCACCCAAGAATCCAGCCAGGGTTAATTAGAAAAGCCCTCTGGCTGACAAGCTTGGGGGAGAAGGAGGGGAGGGAGGAGAATGGGGAGAAAGGGAAGGGGAAGAAGGGGGCGGGGAGAACAGAAATGCTTATTACTTTTTTAAAAGGATTTTCACTCTTCAAATTCTTAAAGAAATGATTCGTGTATATTGTTTTCCTTTTAGATTGCAGACTCCCAGAGGGTTAGGCAGACATGATGCAAAGCCTGCACCCAGGTGTAGCGAAGAAGTCCAGGCAATCAGCCGGCATTTGTCTGGCACTGAGCTAGTCCCTGGGGCTCCAAAGCCCAAAATGAAACAGTCCCTGCCCCCAAGAAACTTATGATCTACTTTGAGTCAGTCAATAAATGTTTATTAAACACCTACTAGGTGCCAGGCACCGAGCTAAGCGCTGGGAGGATCCAGAGAATGGCAAAAGACAGGCGCTCACAGCCCAACGAGCGAGACGACGTAGAAACAGCTCTGCATGAATACAGTGGAAATAATCGAGTCTCATTCGCCTGAAATGAATCCACTCAGAGCAGCCCTCCTCCCTAAGCGGGAGTGTGCTCCTTAGGGGGTTGGGGAGGAACCAGAGCATTTGGAAACTCCAGCAGATTCCCACTCTGCCTGGGGAGTACAGGATATTCCTGGGGTGGGGGAGGGCCAGGAAATGCTTCCCAGAGCCTAGATCAAATGGGATCTCAGCTTAGCCTGGGAGGTTGGAGGGCTCCAGGGAGAGGAGATAAAGAAGATAAAGACGTTCCCTAAATTGGTTTTCGGAAAAAGGAGGGGGAGGGTGGTCTGGGCAATGTTGAATATTTATCATTCTTGTCAATACCTTTCGCCTATTAGTAATCTGAATCCCTTAACCTTACTCATCAGCCTCCAAGGCCTCAGGGGGGCATCAAGGTGATTTGGGATGAATGGGCTGGCTATGGCCTCTGGGTCTCTCCAACGAGAACCAGCCAATCTGAGTTCCGAGAGAGGCTCATCCGAAGGGCCTATGGGAAACTGAATTTGTTTTCAGACAAAACAACTCAAAAAGACTGTCTACTAAGGGATGGGGGTGGAGGGGAAGAGTGGGATAGGGAGGGAGGAGGTGGAGGTTTGCCTTCTCCCAAGGTGGAGGAAGCACCATTCAAGTCTCTGGAGCCTGGATACACTGAGGTAAACATTTTCATCCCTATAGGCTCTTTGCTGCTCAGTGGCTAAAGCCTGGGCGACTGGAAGCCTTGGGTTCCAAACTAGCCTCTGATACATACAGACTGTGACACAGACTTCACTTATCCCAGCCTGTTTTCCAATCGTTAAAATGAGGATTATGAACCCTCAGAGGGTTCTTCTGAGGAAAGCATTTTATATTATTCAGTCCTCACTTATCTTTTTAAAAAGATTTTTGATATCTTGTTTTCATATCACCTACATTTTCCCCTGTATCCCTCCCTTCTCCCAAGGGTGTCAGCTCTCAAACTCTCATTTACTTGGGTTCCTTTTTCACCTCTGTGAGCTCCAGCCCCACATCACCGGCGGCCAGATGTACCATAGGCAGTATGGCATTGGAGCTATAATGCTAGTCTTAGGAGTCAGGGAGATATGGGTTCAGATCCCTTTTTAAAATTTCTAGAGCTATAGGTTCATCTGGGGGTCGAGGCCCTGGGGTGTAATTCTGGACAAGGGACTTAACCTCTCTCCTCAGATCAGCTCAAATCCCACCTTGGGGGGAGACCTTTCTCATTTTCACCCTACCCTACCCCCACTCCATCCCCACACCCTTCCCTTGGAGATTACCTCCCATTCCTGTGTGCCCAGTCATTTGAATGTTGTCTCCTCCATTAAAATGTCCCAATGTTTAGCACATAGCCAGGAACTTACAGTTTGTCGACTGTGATGTTGATAATTGCAAAAATGCTTTTCCAAACACTTGTCCCAACATTAATTGGGAGAGAAAACATGAGGAGGACTTGAGTAGCTTCTAGTTAATTTCTGCTGCTCACTTCTTCAGTGAACCGCTCCTCCCCATCCCCACTCTTTGTCCCTCTAATGAACTTTCTCCCATACTGCTTTGTTCCGCCCTCGCTCAGTAAAGCATAAACTCCTTGAGGGAAACTTGGATTTGCATCTCGTAATACCCTATGCCTGGTGCCCGGTGAGCGCTTAATAAAGTCGTGTTGATTGCCCTCTGTTAAGTTTATAAATCTGGCAGGGCTGGGCCAGCTCTTTGAATTTCTCCCACGCCTCGTTTAGTCTAGGGCCTAGTTGGCCGCCCTGCGCCAGACTCTGCATTTCCATACTCCCGCCATTTTCACTGCCCCCCCCCCCCGTGGGAGGAATTCTTTACTTTCTCATCTCCACCTCCAGCCTTCCTTCAAGTCTCAGCTAAGGCCCCACTTCGTGCAAGAAGCCTTTCCTGGTCCCCCCCTTAATCTTAGTGCCATCCCTCGGAGATTCCTCGAATTTGTCCTGGCTCGATCGTCTCCGCATTAGAAGGTCTTTCGCCTATTTTGGTAGGGAGCGGTATCCCAGCCCTTAGCACAGCGCGTAGCACATAGTGGACGCTTATTAAATGTTTATTGATTTGACTTGAGGTCAAGGTAAACGAGGTACGGAGTAAAGAACACAGACTTTGGACCTTGGTTTAAACCTGAACTAGTCATCTTTCTGGACCTCAGTCTCCCTCAGCTGGACCTCAGAAACTTACCCCCGCCCGGGTCAAATGAGGCAGGTGGGACTTTGCTGCCTCTGACGTCCATTCCACGTCTAACCCTAAGAAGGAAAGATGCAGGTGGTGTGCGCGACGTCGAACATCTCTGTACTAGGCGCCCAGCCTCCAGCGCCCCGCGCAGCTTAGGAAAGCTCCCTTCCTTCCTAGCTCTCCCTTCCCTGGGCCGAGACGGGGATCCGGGGCCAAAGCGGCCCTACCACGCCAGCAGAAGCTGCGAGCAACAGCGCCGTCTAGGCGGCGAGCGCTGCGCCGGCGAGCGGGCGTGGGGCGCTCGGAGCCCCGAGGGAGCTGGCGCTGGAGCGAGCCGAGGCGGCGCGGCGTGCCCGACCACCTCCGACCCCCAGGGCCCGGGTGCTGCGGCCGGGCCCTGGAGCTGTGGCCGAGCCAAGGAGCTCCGGCCCGGCCCAGGCTCAGAAGCCCTCCACCCGACCGAGTTACTCCGCGGCCCACCCCCCCCCCCAGCGGCCCCCACCGGCCCCCACCTCGCCCCAGGCGCCCGGGCCGGGTCCTCCTCCTCCTCCTCCTCCTCCTCCTCCTTCTTCTCTCCGGCCCTCGCCAGCGGCGGCTGCAGCTGCTGCAGATAGAGTGTCAGGGAGCCGAGCACAGGAGAGAGCTAGGAAACACCTGTTTCCCTCATGAAAAAGGTAGAAGAAAAGCCCACAACAGGCTTCAAGCCTCCTTGCGTATATTCTGCTCTCAAGAGGCCTGTAAGAAACGCAGCCTTAAAACCAGGCGAGATCGTTTTTCAAAAAGATCACTTTCTTCCCTGCCTCCCCCCATATTCAGCGAAACGCCCCCCTGCAAGTCTTCCCTCCTCTGAGAGATTCTCTCCCACCCTTCTGCCCTCCTCCCAGTGACCATGGGGGCTCAGGGGCATCCCCCAATCTCTATGCATTTGTCTCCTCCTTCCCCCTCACTGCCCACCTGTGGGTACAGTGGGAAAGAGTCACAGGGCCTGGGGTTCAAAGCCTGGCTCTTGCCACTAACTACCTGTAGTGATCAACAAGTGTTTATTAAGCGCCTACTAAGTGCCCCACAGCGTAATTAGCGCTGGGACACAAAGGCAAAAGTGAAACAGGCCCTGCTCCCAGGAGCAGGAGCACACAGTCTCCGAAGTGGCTGGGCCCCTCTGGGTCTCACTTCTGTCCTCTGCCAGATGAACAGCGAGGTCTAAATACAAGTATAGAGTTGGGGGGATGGGGAGAGGTATTTCAGCCCTGGCCCAACTTCTCTCTCTGGGTCTCAGAGGGTCCAAAGGCGACTGGGGTCAGGGCGCCTGGTAAATCTGAGCGCAGACGGGGAGGAGGAGTTGGGGATGCGCCCGGGGCACCAGGTAGAGGGGCACCCTGGCACACAATCAGGCACGCCATCAGACAATCAGTCGCACCATCAGACAATCAGACGCACGCCCCGGTGCCTGGGGACGCCACCGGCCTCCCGCGCACGGGGCTCCGTTATTTCATCAGTACTTTCAGAAGAACTCGCCAAAAGCTGTTATGGCTCGCTGCAATGTGTAGCTTTTTCCTGCCGTTTTTTTTTTTTTCATAATAAAAGAGGGAGTGAAGCTCACTCACTCTCCACCCCCCTCTCCCAAAAAGAGCCAAATGGATCCGAGAAGGGGGGAAAAAAAACCCAAACCACGCACACCAATCTCGGAGGGGATGCCAGTGAGGTGTGGCTTGTATTTAAATACCCAATATGTCAATGTAAGGGGAGTGAGTGCGGATGTATATAAAGTGGCGTTCGCCTGTGATAGCCGGACACACCGAGGGATGAAAGGCAGCCCGAGATCAAGGCCCAGGGGCCCCGCCACTTTTGTTCCCAGCGCCGTGCAGCAGCCGTCCCAGCAGCGCGCTCTCCGCCGCCGCCGCCGCCGCCGCTGAGCGAGCCGAGCAGGTCCCCCGGCCGGCCACGACTTGGGCCACCCGCCCGCCAGCCCGCGGCCCAGAGACAGACAGAGAGCGAGAGAGAGAGAGAAGCCGGAGCCGGGGAAGCAGGGAGCTCAGCCCGAGCCCTGCAGCCCTGCCTGCTCCCCTCGCCCCTGTTCGCCCTCCGCTCCTCCAGCCAGGGAGCCAGCCAGCCAGCCAGCCAGCCAGCCCGCGGCGCACACACCCGAGCGCGCACACACTCACACTCACCCTCACCCACCCACACACACGCACACACACACACACACACATAAACACACACACACACACGCACGCTCTCTCACACACCCCCTACGGTGGCCGGGGCCATGGCCGAGCTCGGGGGGGCCCTGGGCGCCTCTCTGGACTGGGACGTGCACGGCTTCTCGTCTTCCCTGGGGAGCATGCCCTTAGCCGACTCCCCGGGCTTCCTGACCGAGCGGCTGGGCCAGATCGAGGGCAAGCTGCAGCGCGGCTCGCCCACCGACTTCGCCCACCTCAAGGGGATCCTGCGGCGCAGACAGCTCTACTGCCGGACCGGCTTCCACCTAGAGATCTTTCCCAACGGGACTGTGCACGGCACCCGGCAAGACCACAGCCGCTTCGGTGAGAGGGGAACGGGGCCGGGGCGGGGGGGGGGGGGGGCGGGGCCCCCCGGGGGGGGGGGGGGGGGGGGGGGGGGCGGGGACGGGGCGGGACAGGCCACTGGCACACCCGCCGTCTGCCTGCCCTCTGGCTGCCCTCGAGGCTGGGGGAGCAGAGCGTGAGTGTGCCTGGGGGACAGTCTGCGTTTGTGCGTGGGGAGCTCTGGGCAATGCTCGGAGCCAGGGCGCCTAGACTAGGAGGGTTAGTTAGCTGCTGGCTGGAGGGGGGCGGGGTGGCCCACAGAGCGGCCGCAAACCGTGGGGTTGCCCGCCTGACCTGCAGCCCTCCTGGGGACTTGTCTGAAGCAGGTGTAACCCCTGCTCCCTTCGCGGACTCCTCCTCCGTCGGGGCGGGACTGCATTGGCTTGTCCGGGCGCTCTACAGTGCTGTGCCCCTTCGGGAAAGCCGCGGGCTAGAGCTCCCTGACAATGCCTGGCACTGAGGAGGTGCTTAATCAATGCTTGGCAATTAATTGATCGATCGCTCTATCTAGGCCAGCTTCCCAGACCGGCGGATGCGAAGGGGGGGGAGGGGGAGGGATGATAGGGAGGGGGTGTCGGTATTGGCTCTATGCCTCAGCCTTGGGAAAACCCGCACTTTGTAGGGTGGGGTAGGAATAACCCGCAAGTCACTGGCGTGGTGGGAACTTCCCCAGCTGGCTACACTGCCCAAAGACGGGGACTGTGCCTGAGCTTTAGGGTAGCGGAGTCTAGTTTCAAACTCGGGTCTGGTGCCTCCAAATCCAGGCCATTTCCCACTGTACCTGGCTTCTACCCCTCCTGGCCTGGGCCTTCGGTGCTGGCAAGGACTCCTCCCCCTCCGACTCCAGACACAGGTATCTCTCCTCTGCCCAGCACATGGGATGGCCCCATGGCTGCCCAGCTCATGGCAGCTTGTTCAAAGGGCACAGCCGCCTGTCTCACATACAGAACTAATTACACATTAATATAAACCATGTCCCAGGATGGAGATCATTAGGTCTCTAAACAAATGTGCTCACTCCCTAGCAATGTGGCCATTTTTATTTTCAATTTCCTATTCTCCCCAGTGCTAAGTCATTCCGCAGGTGCAGTGACAACCAGCCCAATCCTCAGGCCCAGTAAACCCTCTTTCCCTTCCTAGAGACTCTGTATCCCCCTAAGCAGAGAGGAGGTGACCCTTCCTACCTCCAAGCCAATGCAAATTCAAGACTCATCTTCCTAAGCCTTCCTTCCCACTACGCCCCCACCCTCACCCCCAAGTTATCTTTCCTGCCAGACTAGAAAAGCAAAAGGCAGGCACCGTGAAGGAGTGTAGGGGTATAGTAAGAGGGGTCTGAGGGCAGGGCCCAGCCTGGAAAATGGCTTTGGGGACAGGGCTGGCCTGCTCAGAGCAGGCAGGAACCCTAATGAGGCCTATGTCATCTTGGAAAAATGCATTCTGAGCTGAAGTAGAGTAAGTTTGGGGGTGGGGGGGAGTTCAGTTGAGGGCTGCAGGTGTCTGTATAAACTTTCTGCAGGTCCCTAAGGGGGAATGGGAGGGGGTGGGGCCCACTGCAGGTTGTTAGCTTGGCTTAGCTCTCCCCACTTCTCCAGGGAGGGAACCCTTCCACCTTTGCCCCCAGAACTGGATTTTTTTCCACAGAGAAGGAATGGCCTAAGGATTCTGGGGTGGCTGGCTGCTAGTGTGTAAGGGAGAGTCTCACAGACATAGAACCCTGAGGGCCAGGGTGGTGGCAATCCTGGTACCTAAAGCTAGGAATCCCCAAGGTCAAAGTAAAGACAGAATAAACGACCCTGTCTGTGGCCACTGGTCTTTAATTTCTGTTTAGGGCCCCAAAGACCCAACTCTCTTCCTTTTCATCTGGGAATTTAAAGGGAAAAGAAATTAGGATTTGGAATCAAAGGACCTGAGTTGAAGTCCCAGTTCCATTTAACTATCCTTGCGATCCGGAGCAAGCCCTTGAACTGCTTTTGGCCTCAGTTTTCCCATCCATAAAATTCTGGGAGGGGTGGCCTAGAGGATCTCAAAGATCCATTTTGGCTCCAAATTCTGCCAAACCACCAGTAGCATATCTTTCCCTCCCCCTCTCCACCAGCTTACCTCTTACCTCTTTTTACAAAAAAAAACCTCTGCCCCAGAAACTCTCAGCATCGCCACTTCCCCGGCCTTTCCCTCATCAGATTGGTGAATTTCCCATAAAGGAAATTGGAGCATTGCTCAAAGTTGTCTTGCATCCACCTCCCCTGCCGACTTTGAACCTAACACAGATCCAAACCTTGGTCTAGCTTGTAGTAAAGGATGAGGGGGAGCTTGGGCTTTGGAGCCCTTCCCCCCACCCCACCCTCCTTTTGGACTTAATCAGGCCGAGTATTCAATAAATCGAAACTTGAACATTCCATAAGTGTTTTAGCAGTCAACATTCCAGCAGAGTAAAGGAGACCAGACTGAAGATATAAAATATTATAGATTTCTGCTTTGGGGGAAGGGCTGTAGTCTCCAAAGGCCCCGTAAAGTAAATAGCTATTTGTTGTAATTGGAGAGCAGGGCCCCCGAGGATTACCCTGGAATCCGAGTGTTCAGAGAGAGCCCGGCTGAGCCCAAGCACAGCCCTGACTCCAAGTAATAACGTGTTGGCACGGGGGACTGTTTCTCCATCTGCATTCGGTAGCCAGGAGGATTGAAATCTCCGTCTGGCTGGCCAGCCGGCCGGTTCTACTCGGACCCCAGCCTTCCCAATGGGTACTTGGAGACCGGGAGGCAGACAGCACCAGGGGCCTGGCAGCTGGTGGGATGAAGGGGGGGATTACAGTCTGGTCTCTGCCATTGGGGCAGGGTGCCAGGAGCCGATGCCGAGCCCGGAGATTTTGGGGTTTGCCCATCAGGCAGTGCCAACCATTCTGGCACTGGGAAAGGTCAGAGAATTGGGGGGGGTGGCAAAGCATGTCCCAGCTCCTCCACCTTTCCCTCTGGTCTATAGTGCTTGAAGCACACAGTTGTTTTCTCTGCAGCAAGCCCTGAGCTAGGTGGTGGAAGCATCCTAATTCCCATTTCAATTCAGTCCAATCTAACAAGCACTTTTGAAGCACCTACCACGCACCAGGCAATGTACTAGGCAACAAAAATGAAACGGTCCCTGCCCTGAGAAGCCTACTTTCTACTGGAGAGAAACAACATTCACCCAGATAAGTAACTGTAAAATTGAGTCATTTGAGGGTATGGGGCGGGGGAGCACTAATGACAGGGAATTACAAAAGAACTTGAGCTGAGCCTTAAAGGGAGCCTAAAGGGTTTCAGGAGGCCAAGCTGGGGAAGGAGAGCATGCTAGGCATACAGAACAGCCTGGGTACTAACATGGAGGCCTGAGATGTAATGTCATGGGTGGGGAACAATAGCAGGAAGGCCAGTTTGGCTGGAACCTAGGACGTGTGAAGGGGATATCATGTGGAAAGCCTGTAAAGATGAGTTGGAGCCAGAGGAAGAAACTGAGTCCCAGAGAAAAAGGGCTGTCTTCCCCTTCCCACCCCTACTCTGAAGCACGGAGTCTGGACTTGAACCCAGGCCTTCTGTTTAGGAACAGTTAGTTCTCCTTGAGGCTTCTTAGACATTTCTGGGATGGTGGGTCTGTTTACTATGGGTGGGTAGAGAGCCTGGATTATTAGTGAAGCTCTAGGATTGTTCTCTTGCTCAGTGGGTATGGCCACGGTTAGCCCTAGCCATAGATAGATGGCTGGATTTGAGGTTGTACCAAGAGGTTTACTCATCCTCCAAAAATCTCTCCTCCAAGCCAGCCATCTACATTTAAGGGTCATTTCCCCTTTGGAAACTTCTTTAGATAAGGTGTTATTTCAAGAAAACCCCCAAGTTTAGCATGGATTATTTGTTGACCATCTTGGTGAATCCCAAAGGAATAGGATACAGGTTTAAGTTTTGATTATGGAGGTAGATGAATGAGAAGGATCATAGCATTTAGATCTCGAAAGACTAGAGATCACTGGTCCAGATCCTCAGTTTAAATAAAAGAAAGCCCAGATAAGAGAAGAGACTTGCCCAAGGTCACATTTGGAGGAAGTAGCAGAATCTGGACTTGAATTCAGTCCCTCCAACTCTTCTAGTCTTTTTGAAAGTTTAATTGATGCCTTTTGTTTGTACAGCATAGTCATTTCTCTACTAACTCCCCCTCCCCCTGCCAAACTGACCCCCTCCCTTATATAAAAAAATAAGTCACTTAAGCAAAATAGTTGCTACAGCAATTGAATCTGACAGTGTGTACAGATAGCATATCCAGAGCTCTTTCCACTTCAGTCTGCAAATGCCCTGAGCCTGGAGGGTTGCAGGTCTGGCTGCTGACAGGGAGTGCTGGAGATAAACTTTGCCCACTTAGCAACTTTGCCCTCCAACACCTACTTCCAGCTGAAGCTCCAAGAGGGGGGAAAGGGCTTGTTCGCCCTGCATTCCTGCTGGTCAAGTGCCAGGAATGTCTGTCCCATCATCACGTGCCTCTCAGCAGGCCCCCCTTGGGTGGACTCCAGCTAAGAAGAAAACTGGCAAACAGACATGGCGCCCAAAGACAGCCAGGCAGTGGGACTTCAGGAATAGGGAGAACAGGGACATGAAGGAAGACTTGTCTGACAGGTCCGAACCTCTGGGATTCAAGTTATATTGAGCGGCAGTGGGGCCTTGAGGGGAAAGTACTGAATGAGAGTTGAACCATCTGCTGTTTGGTGTGTGACCTTGGGCAAGTCACTTAACTTCTGGTCCTAAGTTTCCTCCATGCAATAAAGAGGTTAGATTCCTAAACAACACAAAGGCATTCTTAAGCCTAGTTTTAAAGCTGCAAAGGATCTCAAACTTAGACATCAATGTCTAGTGAAAGGCAACCCTTTATCTTACCGAGGAGGAAACTGAGACCCAGAGAGGGCAAGTGACTTGCCCACTATCACCCGTAATTAAGTGGCCTAGATAGGATTTGACTTCTGCTCTTCCTCTTGTTAGAGATTACAGTGGGTTATGGGGGAAAGTAATGCCCTTTCCTCTCTTGCCCTTAGAATGGTGGAAGGTTCCAGAAACCCACAGATACTCATTCCATAGTGTCCTTCCAGATAGCAGAGGAATGGACTAGATGACCTCTGAAAGTTCCTGGTGATATCTTCAAGGATTTCATAAGGAGTCAGCAAAGTTCCCAGGAAATAAAAGCCTTAGCAATATGGACCACCACATAGTGCTTTGTGCAAGCACAAGAGACGCTGTGGGTCAGGGTGGAGGAAATTGACCTAGCCATCCGAAAATGTGAAACAGAGAGACGCACGACTGGTAGATGGAAGTGGGTCCTGGAAAAGCCCATTCTGCCTACCCAGCCTGGAGCCAGAGGCCTTTGATAGGAACAGCATCAGCCCACAGCCCCATTCTGAAGTTTCATGTTAGGCCTGACTTCTTTCCCCCACCCCTTCCTCGCTTGTTTCCCTCTATTCCCATGCTCCCAGGGCCTTCCTGATCTCCCCACCTTTGCTTGGCTAGCTCTGAGTAAAAGAAAATTATCTCGGGTCTTACCTCCCTTACCCATGTCAGCAGAAGCAAGGATACTCATTCTGGAGTCCCCAGAAAGAGAACGCTCAAAAATTAGGAGCAAGTCTGACACCTCCGAGTGCCCTTTTAGCTCTGAATCGTGAGATGGTCTTCCCCAGGACCTGACGGGTTTTTTCCCCAGATGTTTTTGGAAGGCCACTTGTCAATTTTCCAGGACAGAAATGGCAATGATGAACTTGACCACTTACAGGCTGTGTGTGACCTTGGGCAAATCACTCTGGGTCCCAGCTTCTTTATCTGTAAAATGAGATTTTATGTTCCTAGGTCCTCTCCGGCCCTAATAATGGTTAATCGCTAACGTTTGGGTAGCGACTGAAGGTTTGCAAAGTGCTCAACACATAGGTCGTCTCATGGAATCTCCCAACAGCCCAGTGAGCTAAGTGCTACTGTTCCCCCATTTTACGGATGGGGGGCTAACACAGCTCATTAGTGACTGAGGCTGCATTTGAACTCAGGGCTGCCTCCAAGTCCAGGATTCCATTCACTCTGCCACCTAGCAGTCTGACGGTCTTAGTCTAGGCTCCTTGCTAGCCCTGACATTTTGAATCCCACTCAGTGTCCCAGGTGGCTTTCAGAAGGTAGCTTCAGGGCCAGGAGGGAGAGAAACGAAACAGGAGCTGCCCTAAAGGAAGGTGAGCCAGTGGTCTGTGCTCAGCCAGGAAGGAAGCTGCTGACCCCTTTCTTCTGTGAATTAGCTGAGCTTCTTAAGCACAATGATGGCTTTGGAGGCAAAGCCTTTTCTCTTCCTCACAGTGCCCCTGGGCAAGGAACTGAAGATCTCATCAGTGTGGATCCCCTCAGGGCGCAGGCCCAAACCCAACCCATCCATTTCTGACCACCTTGTGCCACTAGTACACGGCCTCCTTAAAAGGGAGTCAACCCAACCTGCTAGGAGCCTTGGGCCCATTCTCTGGACATTTTAGGAATTCCAGTGGAGTGTGGGCTTGGTCATCTGTCTTGCTCACTATGTGATTGGACCATCTTTTTTTTTTGTTTTTTTGTTTCTTTGTTTTAGGCAATTGGGGTCAAGTGACTTGCCCAGGGTCACACAGCTAGTAAGTGTCAAGTGTTTGGTCTGAGGCCGGATTTGAACTCAGGTCCTCCTGACTTCAGGGCCGGTGCTCTATCCACTGTGCCACCTAGCTACCCCTGGACAATCTTTTCTTTCATGGTTGGATATCTCTCCAACAGAAATCCTTTCTTCTACTTCTCCTCCAATGTGTCTCTATTGCCCTTTGGGCAAAACTTAACCTGAATTCTTCAGGTATTTCTTGGCTCACAGCCACCCAGAATCAATGAACAAAGATTGGTATGAAGGAGATGACTCTTTGTTTTAGGAGAAGCTTGGGGTTCTTAAAAGCCCTGCAGTCCAGCCCCACACTCCTACTCCCGTTTAACATAAGCCCCAGGCCACTGTCCATAATGGTCCAAGATATATGTGCCAGTAGGCAAGCTGAGTTCTCCATTCAAGCATGTATCAGAATCTACACAACAGTCTTCATCCACTTGATTTTTGATGTGTGAATAGTAAGGCTGAGTGACCATGAGGCTCATTGATGAGGCTTGGCAGTGTTTCTGGGGCTTGAGGCAATCAGTAGTATCATCCACAAGCCTGAGCACCTGGAGGACCTACCCCCAACCCTTTTCCATTTGGACTGTGCCAGACATCCTCCATAATAATGCCAAGCACCTTTGGGGAAGACGCTGTTTTGGGCCTCATTTAATGCCGGTAGAAGCAAAGGGACATCAAACAAAGTTATTTGGTTGCAGCATCTTGCAAGAAACTTTGCCTGACTTTGCCATGTGCATAGGAGACACCCTGTTGGGGGAGAGCCTTTTAAGGTGGCTTTTGACTCTGCCTTAATGGAATACTTCTTGAAAGTCCCTAATAGGCACAGTGGAACATGGGATTCTCAACAGTCAGTTGTGATTGTAAAGATCTGGTTTGCTGTGAAATGCTTTTGGTGTAAACTCGCTGCCTCTATCCTTCTCATTCATAAAAGAATGCCTTCAGCGTGGTTTTAGCTTATTCTTGGAGATTTCATAGAGTTGGAAAAGGAAGCATATGGGTTGCAAATTACTGATCACTGTTCCCATTTTATAGATGGAGCAATTGAAGCCTGGAGGAGCCTCAGGCCCTGGCACAAGGCATGCAGAGTGGCCTTGCCAGGACTAGACCCTAAGGTTCTTGAACCACGCCCTCTCACCCCTCAGCCCAGGGCTGGCTTTGTCCTTCCCTGGGCATGCCCATTTCCTAAACAAAAACAGTTTGGTCACGTCACCTACCAAAGTGTTTTGATAATGGAAGGGAAGAAAGACCAGGGAGGAGGGCCAGGGTCCTTGTTTCTTGTTGGCATCATTAATGGCAACTGTGTTTTCCCCTTTTCACTGTAGGAATCTTGGAATTTATCAGCCTGGCTGTGGGATTGATCAGCATCCGAGGAGTGGACTCAGGCCTGTACCTAGGGATGAATGAGCGTGGCGAGCTATATGGCTCGGTAAGTTGAAGATCTGCCATGCCTTCTGGGGCTGGGCTAGCTGGAAGTAGTAGAAATCCTAGGGCTGGCAAAGGAGAAGAATGATTCTCCTGAAGAAAAGGCAACACGATACCTTCTGAATGGTTTGTTTGGGGCTCAGATTTTGACTTTCTATTAGTGACACAAGAAAACCTTTTCAGGACACATCTTCTTCTTCTTCTTCTTCTTCTTCTTCTTCTTTTTTGCAGTGAATAACTCCTTAAATCATCACCAGAAATGCTTTTCTAAGAATTAGTTTGGTAGCTGGATCTGAGTTGCTCTCCCGCCCCAGCCCATCTTCTCAAATAGGCCTAGACCTCAGCAAAATCAATTAAGAGGCCCCTGCCAGTGCCCCACCTGCTTGCCCACACAGTGCTCGGTACCTCAGTCATTTTCCAACCTTCTCTTCCCACCCAACCTCAAATTGATTGAATCCTGGGATGTCAGAGCTGAAAGGGATCTCATTTGGTGGCAGAAAAATCTTAGGCCTAGAGAGAGGCCTAACTGACACATCCAAGGTCACATAGGTTGTAAGCAGTGGAGCTGGGATCCGTACCTAAGCAATAAGAGCTGACTTGCCTCACTTCCCCATCACAGCCCTGAGTGGCTCCCTGGTGAGTTACCCTTCTCCTTATCTGCCAAACAAATCCGTCCTAGTGGGTGCTGATGGGTTAGTACTCATGTTGCCAGCCCTCTCAGTGCTTCATTTTTAACCTTAACAGGAGCCCAGAGGATAGAGGATGATTTAATCCAAAGGATTAACTCTGAAGAGTAAAGTGTTGGGCACTGGGACAGGCTGGTCAGAGAGAGATTTGGGGGCAAAGGAAAGTCAGCATAAAGAGGACGGCACAAGGAATCAGGAGACTTGGGTTCGAATCTTGGGTGTAATTTACCAGCTATGTAACCCTTTGGAAGTCACTTATTTTTCTAAATCTCATTTGCCTCCTTTTTGAAAGGAATGGAAGCAGCTGGATCATGCCATCTCTTGAGGCCCCTTCCAACTCAAAGATCTATAATCTAACTTGAGGAACGGGTCAGCTGGCACCATCCAGGCTGCTACCTACTCTTCCTACATATAAAACTTCCTTTAGTTCTGGAGATTTCAGCTCTTACCAACTCATCCTTTGCCCACAGCAGAGCCTATAGAATAGCAAGGGTGGCAATTTCTCTTCCTAGAGGTGAACAGCCCTACAGCAGGTGAGATGGCAGATGAGGCATATGTGTCTGCACCTCCATCCTCTGCCCAGCAATAGCTGGGGAGGCTCCCAGGGCTGCTGTCCCCTGGGCACCTCTGCTTGCCCAGAACAAACAGCTATCTGCTACACAGAGACTATGTGAGATGTAGTGGGAAGAGGGTGGACCTTGGAGTCAGGAGGACCTAGGTTTAAATCTTAGCTGTGTGACCTTGGGCGAGTCTTCTTTGTGCCTCAGTTTCCATCTGTGTAAAATTATGGGGTTGGATTTGATCTCTAAATCTGATTCTGTAACCTTGCAGGGGTTTGGGCTGGGAGAACAATTCAGGGATTGGTAGGGACTGGATTGGAGGAGAGGGAGTGACGGCTTAGGCTCATCCTTTCTTTAAGGCCTCATGAAACACTCAGAACAGGGAAGTGCTGGATGGTTCCAAGAGCAGAACTTTTCCTCTTGCCTTCCTAACACTTTTTCCTCTTATCTCTCACAACTAAAATGACATGGTGTGGGGGAAAGGGGAGAGTGGTGTGCATGGCGGAGCACCCTGCTGGGGTATCCCAGAGGCAAGAGAGTCACAGTTTTAGAGGCAGAAGGGATCTTAGGGGTCTTCTAATCCAACTCCTCCATTTTATAAAAAGGGACTCTGAGGCCCAGAGAAGGGGCAGTGAGTGATTTGCCCAAGGACATGGGGCTAGTAATTGGCAGAACTGGGATTTGCATCCAGGCCCAATGGGTCCACCACTGTGAACTGCAGAAAAAAGGAAAGCTATGAAAGACATCAAGGACAAAACACTGGGAACTCGGGGCCAACACGGCCAGCAGGCCCCTAGGGAGGTTGGCACCACCCATGCAGGCACAAGGGCAGCTGCTAGCAGAACTGTAACTCAGCCAAGCTTGGCAGAATACCCACAACCCTTTACTTGATGCCTCGGGCTAAGGGCACAGGCAGGGATGGTAGCAGGTTGGATCTGTGTTTGGCTTGGCCTGGTATCAAGCTGAATCGAAGCATTGCCAAGAGGTTGAAGAGGATGCAGAAGACATATGTTCATTTTATATCCTGGTAAACCACCCTTGATAGATGTCAGTGCAATGTAGCACTGGCCTAGGCACAGGTGGTATGCCCACAATCTCGATTTCTTTTCTAATACCACTTGCTGACCAGGAGATCAGGGGACTACTGGAGATTGAGTTTACCTAGATTTTGGCAAAGCATTTGACAAAAGTCTCTCATGCTTTGCTTTTGAACAAGATGGAGAGATTTGGACTCTGATAATACAGTTAGATGGATTTGGGACTGGTTGAATGACCCTACCCAAACAGTAGTCCATTACAGTCCTGGACTCCTGAGAAGGAGGTCTGAGTACAATGTCCCAGGGATCTGGGCTTGACCCTGTACTTTTAAACCATTTTTGCCAATGACTCGAATGAAGGTGTAAATGGCTTGCTCAACTAATCATTTGCTCCGGTCCCCTCATTTTTATACATCAGGTCCCTGAGAGTTAAGATGACTCACCAGGATTTGAGGCCAACTTTCTTGACTTTTGAGTGGCAGCCTGATGTAGTGGTATCAATTTTTTTTTTATTTTTATCTTTTAATTTTTATTTTTTGGCTAGGCAATGGGGTTAAGTGACTTGCCCAGGGTCACACGGCTAGTAAACGTTATGTGTCTGAGGTCAGATTTGAACTCGGGTCCTCCTGAATCCAGGGCTGATGCTCTATCCACCATGCCGCCTAGCTGCCTCGTAGAGGTACCAATTTCAAATAGACATGGGGGCCACTGAACTGGACCTAAGGATCCCTACAGACTGCATAGTGACTTAGAAAACCACACACGTTTATAGATTTGCTTTTTCAATCAATATATCAACACATTAAAATCAGATAGGAACTCCACATTCTTCTGGTTTGGGCTACACCCTGGAGAGTCAGGCTGGGTGTTTGACACCTGGTGTAGTGAATGGTGAGAGCTGACCTCAGAAATGGGGAGTCCTGAGCCCAAGGTCTTCCTCTAGGACACACAAAAGCACATCACTTAATGTGTCAATTTTCAGTGTTTCTTTTTTTTCTTTTTTGCTAGGCATTGGGGTTAAGTGACTTGCCCAGGGTCACACAGTTAGTGAGTGTCAAGTATCTGAGGCTGGATTTGAACTCAGGTCCTCCTGACTCCAGTGCCTATGCTCTATCCACTGTGCCACCTAGCTGCCCCCAATGTGTCAATTCTCTAGGGAGAGAAAGTGCCAATCTCCATTGGTGGAGGAAGCGTCTTCATCTGGGAGTTTTGCAATATCCAGGAAATCACACATCCCAGCCCCTTTTCCTAATCTTTCTAGATTCCAAAACACACTTCCCTAATTTGGGCCTAAAGCTGATGGTTACAGGGCTGGTTTTCAAGAAGAAGGGGAGGTGGGTGATGATCATCTACTTAGTCTGGCCTCTTCATTTTGCAGAGGAGGGAAACTGAGGCCCAGGGAAGGTAAGGAAGTGACAAGCTGTCAAAGGCAGGTCAGCCAAATTCAAGGTCAGTACATACAGTGTGCTGCTACCAGTCCTAGCAGGTCACAAAGCACCAGAGAGAGGCAAGGACTAGCCAGGCATGAGCTTTTATGTCAGCCAAAAAAGAAGGGCCCTCTCCTTGTTAACCCAGGTGCTTTCAGGGGCTTCCCTTCATCTATAATTTCCATTCCAGGCTGGGGAAAATCCATTGTCTAGAGACCTTAGCTAAATCACGGCTTCCTTTTGGTACTGTTTCCTCATTTAACAAGACGGGGCTGGACTAGATAGGTAATCCTTGGGGATCCCTCCAATTCTAACACTCTGATCCTGTGACCAGCTCAAGCCCCACCATGCCAGATGCCTCTAAGGCTAGGGAGCCAGCAGCTCCCTCCCAGACTGCCTACCTCCCCTCTCCCCAACCCCCCCTACTTGGAGGAGGACATTTTTTCTTGACGTTTGAGAGATAGGCCTGTCCCCAGCACTTGGTATCACTGTCCCCTTCTGGAATGGCAGTCACATCAAGGGTGAAAGGATAGGCCCGTTTCGGGAGACCCAGGGGCCTGCAGCCCCCAGCCGTCAAAGCTGAGGTGCTTCCAGAGGGCCCTTCATTGGCAGAGATCATAGCTTGCCTTCTGGGAGCCATATATAGGTTTGAGGCCATATCACCTGTCAGCTCTTGTGGTAGGCTGGAATCTCACTGTTCTTATGTAACTTGGGTTCCCTCTGAGCAGGGAGAACCCAGAGGGTGGCTTACATCCTCAGCCACAAAGGGCTCAGGGTGAAGCAGTCACATCATCGGGTTTAGAGCTGGAAAAAGGGACTTTAGAAAAGAGAATGGCTGAGCCAAGAGAGACCAAGAAACCATAGTGTCCAGCCTCATTTCATACACAAGGAAGGGGAAGCCCAGAGAAAAGAATGACTCATCCAAGGTCCCTCCCTCTGTTTCAAGGAGCCTGTGATGAAGGCCATTCCACCATTTCCCTTCCCTTGGCCATGCTAGTGTTAAATCCCCATCAGTATTATGGGAAGTACCTCCTCACATTAACCAGAGTGCCTCATGCTGCAGCTCTTTGGGTGACAAAGAACACTGGCTAGTTCCTCTCAGCTGTTTAATACTTTGGATAGCCCTGGCTTTACAAGGCCAAGAGCCATTCCACCCCTTTGCCCCACTCGGTGCATTTTGGCCAATAGCTCTAGGCTCCTGCTCTTGGCTCAGAGATTTTGTTAGAGCTGGAAGGGATCTTGCAGGTCTTTGAGTCCATCAGCCAAAGGCACACTGGGAGCAGGTAACAAAATCGGCATTTGAACCCGGGTCCTCTGCCCCTTCTGTCCCTTCTGTCCCATCTTCTGGTTTCTCTGGAGCAGAAGCAGATTCCTACGTACAATCCACGTGTTCAATGATTGATGTCTGTGGGATATCATTTCCAGGAAACCTCACCCAGACACAAATTGGCTTAAAGCCCTTACCGTGCCCCTGTGCCCATTATGTAGAGGAAACGGAGCTGCCTTTCAACCGAGGCTCAGGTCGGGTCATGTACAACTGCGTGACCTCAGCCATGTCAACCTCCCTTGGGCCTAGGTTTCCTCAACTATAAAATGGAAATAACAACCCCTGGCTTACCCCCTCCAAGCTATCGGGAGGAAAATAGAAATCATTGGAGACTTGGGAGTGATTTTCATCCTCAAATTTATTCTAAGCTGTTTTGTCACTGACACCTCAGTATGAAGACTATTAAGCTCCTTTACTGAGGGTGGGTTTTTAGAAGGGGAGGAGGCTTGAAGGGGAGGGCACTTGAGGGTGGGGAAGAAATCAGAAAAGAATTTGATGAGCTAAGGGCAAACTTAAGTTTATAGGAATTTAAGGGCAGTCCCTACTTTTTCCCACCTCCAGGCTTTTGCTCAAGCTGTTCTCCCCCGAAAGTCCTTGTGAATGGGGATTGTTTCATTCTTTCTACTTTATCTCCATAGCCTAGCACATAGCAGGGGCTTAATATTTGTTTATCGACAACTTGTCGACCAAATGACCGTGATATCATGTGCAAATTTTCAACATCCATCCCTTTGTCTCTTGTAGTTCTGCTGAGAAGAGGAGAGTATGTTTCCTCAATTCTCTGGAATTCTGTGTATAATCTATATTTCTAAAGAAATGTAATGCGGTCTGCCTTTTTTTTTTTCTTCCTCTCACAGAAGAAACTCACCAGAGAATGTGTTTTCCGGGAGCAGTTTGAAGAAAATTGGTACAATACATATGCGTCCACCTTGTACAAGCATTCAGACTCGGAGAGACAATATTATGTGGCCCTGAACAAAGACGGCTCACCCCGAGAGGGCTTCAGGACTAAACGGCACCAGAAGTTCACCCACTTTTTACCCAGGCCTGTTGACTCCTCCAAGCTGCCCTCCATGTCCAGAGACCTCTTCCGCTATAGATGATGTGATCACCTGGCCTCTGTTTCCCCTCCCCTGCCCCCCCAGTGGTGGGGCCACAGTTATGTCCTTGAGCTCTATACTCATAGCCTTTCAAGCCGTCCTTTTTAACAACTTCGATAACAGAGAAGCACTTAAGTTGAACTCAATCCAGCCGAGCTCTTGTTGTTGAAAGTGTATTTACAGGTTGCGTGATTTGCGGGAGGGGTGGGGGGGGCAACTAGGGAGGGGGATGGGGGGTGGGAACACGACCTGCATATCACCCCAGAGGTGGTGAAAGAGCAGGTGGGGGGAGGGGAGGGAAGGGGAGGGAGGGGAGGGAAGGGAAAGGGAGGGCTGATGGAGGGGAGTTGGGGGGTATGTTTCCCACCACACAAACTACACAGACACCTTGACACCAAGCACATGAAAGAAGACCCCAGAGATTGCCGCCATCCAAAAAATCCCTGGGGAGTCAACAACCCCATATGTAGGAAGAAGGAGGAGGGGAGTAGGAAGGAAAAAAAATATTATTAAGATATGAGCACGAACACTGTGCGTGAGGGCAAAAACTATTTATGAAATATGCTATTTATTTTGTATGTTTATTTATTTCAAAAGAATTTTATTTTTAAGAGAGATGTTATGACTGGATTTTAGTCAGAAAGAATAAGGTCCTACTGAAACAGGAAACAAATGAGTTTTTGACGGTTTACTGGCAATAAAATCGGCTTTATGATGGTGACCTCATTGATTGGCTCACTCTCTCGGAGGAGGTCAGCTTCCCTTTCCCCTCCAACACCTTAACAGTGGTGTTGACTGGCCTGCTTAGAGGCAGGTGACCCCGTTATTCAGTATTTATTGAGTGCTGACTGAATACTCAGTGATGGCACCGGGTGACAATCACTATCCTAGCTAGCTTTCGATTCGGTGGGGAGGTGGGCAGGGCACCTTGAAGACTCCTGCTGAAGTCTCCCCACTGCCATGGTCACGTAGCTAATACGTGGCAGGTCTCCAGGAAACAAAACCAGTCATTTTCATTTCCTTTTTTGCCATTTTACTACAAATTGGCTATGTGGACCCTTTAGGGGTCATTCAGATCCTAGATCTAGGGCCAAAATGGGAACATGGAAGCCATCTGTCTAACACCCTCATTTTACAGATCAGGAAACTGAGGCCCAGGGAGGTGAAGGGACTCACCCTAGGTCACACAGGGACTCTTAGAGTCACTTCTTCCACTTGCCTCCTAGTTTATCAGACATTTAAACACCCGTGATGTGCCCCCACCCCAAATCCGATGGGTTCCCCTAGCTCTGGAGAAGCTTACAATTGATTAGGAGAAATAGGACGTGTACACATATAAAAAACATTACCAGGACAAGAGAAACAGACAATACTATGGAATCAGGCACAGGAAGGAAAAAAATGAGAAGCGTCAGGAAGAGAGAACAGAACAAAGGCTTGGAGGCAGGACGATGTGGAAAGTGGAGAGAATCAAAGGAGAACAAGTGGTTTGGCAGTGTGGGGGCCCCGAAAGATCAGAGGCAGATTGGAGAAGGCCTTGAATTCTAGGTCAACTTCGGTCTTTCTTTAGAAGGCAGTGGAGAGGCAGGCAATAACGTTATTTGAGTCAGGGGAGCAACACAGTCAGGTTCTTTTGGCTGTTTGCTGTATGGATAGAGCAGGGAGTGACTAGCTATTTGAGAAGATGGTATTTGAGAACAGGTTTGGGGCTTCTGGACCACAACTTGAAATGTGGAATATTTAGTTCTCAAGAATGAAATTCTGAACACACAAACAGAAAGAATTCTGTTGAAGAAAATGGGGAGTAGTCTAAAGAGACTGGATATGGATGCATAGGCAGCTCTCTGACCAACTTAATTTTCAAAAGGCCTGTATAGAAGACAGGAGGAAAACAAGGGCAAGTACCAGACCCAGAACAAAACCGTGGCACTCTCCACTAAGAAGGCCAGGGGTACTAGAAGTCAGAGTGAGCTGAGGTTGGCAAGGAAAGCCAAGAACAAATTGGGGAGGGGAGAGCTATATTGGGGAAGAAAGATCCAAGTGATATAATGATGGTAATGATAATTAATGGAAAAAAGGTAAGAGTTAACCAGCTCTTCTGTTTCTTCTGTTCAGAAAAAAGTGGGAGCATGTTTATCAAAAGTATATACCCAGGGCCTCACAAGTGGATTAGTAAAGTGGAATATGAGTTCGGTAGAAATATTCAAATCTATCAAAATAGTGGACAGGGAATGTTAGCACTAACATTCCTAAATGTTCAGAGACTGCATAGATTTGGATTGTAATTCACTGGAATTTAAATGTTATAAACCCTGAGAATTCTGGTACCTGTCTGAGCAAACCCTGTAGCTGACACATCTTAAACTGATCTCTAGTCAACTTTTTGGGTTTTTTACTGATTTTTTTTTTAAAGTTTTATTAGCGCCTTATCTTGTTACATCCAAATCGTTTTTGGATACAACCCCCTCTATCACCATTCAATGAGCCTTCCCTTGTAGCAAAGGAAAACTGTTAAGCAAAAACAGTGTGTAGTGTTCCACACCCATAGTCCCCCACTTCTCCAATTAAAAGAAGGAAGTATATTTCCTCATCTCCTGGGCCAAGGTTGATTATTACAATTATACAGTGTTCAATTTTTGTTGTTGTTCTTTCCATTTACATTTTTGTGGTCATGTCTATTATTTTCCTGGTTCTGCTTAATTATTCTGCATCAGTTCATAGAAGTCTACTCATGTTTCTCTGAATTCCTCATACTCGTCATTTCTTATGGTGCAATAATACTCTCGTGATGTTTATAGATCACAGTTTATTCAGCCATTCCTTGGTTGATGGGCATCTACTTTGTTTCCAACTTTTTGCTTCCACAAAAGTGCAATTATGAATATTTTGGTATATATAGGACCTTCCTTCGTGTCTGACCTTCTTTTCTTTGCCAGAGAGAGTAATCTTAGACTTAAGAGGACGAAACAAGAATGGTTAATGGGAAATTGACACCCAGTGTAGGTGGAGAAATAGTAAGAAGGCACCCAGCTGCCTTGAATGATCATGAGTAACTAGGCCCAGGTGAACTACATCTTCTGACCCTGAAAGAATTGTGGAATGTATTCTTGATGTGTTCTTGAGCATAGACTTAGATTTGAAAGGTCCCTTAGAAACCACCTGCAGTCTACCCGTCTCCTTTTGCAGATGAGGAAATGGAAGCCCAGAAAGATGAAGTAATTTGCCCAAGATCACACAGATGAGAAGTGGCAGGGTCAGCATTTGAACCTGGGTCCTCTGTCATCAAGTCCAGTTCTTTTCTCACTATACCATACTGCCTTACACAATGGCTGAGCCATCATGAGATGGCTGGAAAGGGACAGGTGCCACAGGACTGGAGAAAGGCAAGAGTCCTGATTTTTTTTCAAAAGGAAATTTTGATAGCATCTTGGAAGATGGTCACCAGTGAAGTACCCCAGGGATCCATGCATGGCCCCATGATGGTGAACACTTTTGTCAACGTCTTGAATAAAAGCATAGTTGAAGTGCTTATGAAATCTGCAAGTGACACAAAGCAAAGAGGGTGGCTGACATTGAATGACAATCTGTCAGAAGAGATCTTAGGCTGACTAATGGAATGTAACTTAATAAGCATAAATATGAAATCTTATTCTCAGGATTGAAAAAGATCCACTTCACAAGTACAAAACGAGGGAGGTGTTGCTAAGGAAGAGTTGATACAAGTTAGAAGAATTCTCCTACACTGATTGCCAGCTCAACACAAGGCAACAATGGGCAGAGAGGCCAGAATGGCTTCCCAAGATCTATGCAGCTGACAGCCACTGTGTTCTCATGGGATAGAGAAAAGTGCCGTATCACCCTTGCCTTAGAGGTCATGGAGCCCAACCCCCTCTTTTGCCAGCAGAGGAAACAGATCTCCAGAAAGAAAAGGACTTAACCTTAACAGAGTGAGCGGACGAGCATCCATTCAGATCTAGAACCTCACAGTCCAAATCTACTTCTCTTGCCACTAGGTTGCTAGAAGTCAAATCCCTGACAAAAATCTTCTGGCTTTATTTTAAAGAATAGGCTCAGAACAAGCAAATTCCCAGGAACCAAGGTATGGTTTCAAGTTTAGCAGCAAGGAAGTGTGTATGTGTTGATTTTTTGGAGGGGCAGGTGAAGGGGGAGCTTGCATCATTATTAGTTTTATTATTGATGTTTTTCAATCATTTCAGTTGTGTCTGACCCTTTGTGACCCCATTTGGTGTTTTGGCAAAGATACTGGGGTGGCTTGCCATTTCCTTCTCCAGCTCATTTTACAGATGAGGAAATTGAGTCAAACAGGGTGAAGTAACTTGCTCAGGGTCACCCAGCTAGGAAGTGTCTGAGGCCAGATTTGAACTCAGGTCTTCCTGACTCCAGGACCAGTGCTCTATCACCTGCAGCACCACCCAGCTGGCCCAGCCTTAATAGGGTCCTACTAGGGTGGTCCCTCATCAGGGCAAGTGTCTTTTGAGAAGGAATTTCATCAAGGGCTGTACAGACTCAAGAAACTCTAGTTTATTCTCTCTCCTTTGGGTTACTGTTCAGTTTCCTAATCCAAAGTCACAAAGTCATTTTGCTCTCAGCTTCAGTGATGACCCAAGGTCAGGCTGACCGCTTCTTGAGCCACCAGGAGCCCAGCTCAGCTCTTCCTCTTTAGACTCTGGAGGTTTGGGAAGAAATGAGGGGTAGGCCAGTTCTGGCCTGGGCTTCCTTCACTCCCTCAGCAAAAGTTGATGCCTTTCTTGGGTTATGGTAGAAGAGACACCTAGTCCCCTTTCTTGGAAAGAGAGGGTCAGGGAAGAGACACACCCATGGAGAGACATAAAATAACCCAGCCCTTCAGTGTGGGATCTCATTGAATAGGTAGCTGCTGAAGCTTTAATATTCGGATGCCTTTTTGTTTGTTTGTTCATTTGTTTGTTTTAGCAAAGACAGACACAATCAATGGGGTCATCACCTCTTGGTCCTTGGCCCACTGGATGAGTTTGAAGGCCTGGTTCATAATCAAAGGTTCCTCACTCAGTATAAGGTCCAGTGGTTGGACCCTATTACTAGGATTCTTTTCAATGCCAT